AGTATGTAAAATGGTGTTTTAAAAAAAAAAAATTACATCTGACAGACTTCTCCTTGGTGAAAACAATTCTCCACCACAAATTCATGTTTTATATATTTTCATATGCTGTGCCAGTCGTTCGTGTATGTATGGGAAGTTAATGTCTAATTTTTGCCCTAGGTTGACATGAACTTTATGAGGAAGATCCCCCCTGGAGCTGAGGCATCAAATGTTTTAGTGGGAGAAGTCGAATTTTTGGATCGGCCGATCATTGCCTTTGTGAGGTTGAGTCCGGCGGTCCTTCTGTCTGGACTCACGGAAGTACCAATCCCAACTAGGTGAATTAAGTCTTCAATCTTGTTAAAGCTAAACTCCAGCCATACCCTTTTTTTTTTTTTTTTTACTTTTGAAGCAAGTGTTCTCCTGTGTTTGAAACTGACACTCAATTCCTTGTAAACTTACAACTCCACAATATAAACCTTTGAAGCTGCAGCAGCTTTTTGAACCTGCCTTCATTTTCTCTCTGAATTACTTCATCAATTACTTCCTGATCTGTACTGGTGTTGTCTGCCTCTCATAGCTATTAGCTTTCTCTGCCATCAATCAACCAATCAGCAGATTTCACATCTCAAATCAGCAGCACCCAGTGGCCAGCAGAGATACATATAATGCTTCTTGAAAGAGGATTCGAGGCAGAGTGCTTTGTAACTTCCCCCTTCCCCCACCAAACTCAGCACAGACCTACAGACAGACCCAGTGATGATGTCACTGGGACTCAAAATAGATATTCTTAAAAACAGTGATCTGAATAAAAAATATTTAATTCATTGTTTGATGCATAGGGGATAACAATTGAATGTATTATATGCATTCATTATTACATTACCCTTCAGCTTTAACATTGATGTACTATTCTTTTCCAGTCGAAGTGTGTTCTGGACAGGGTGAGAAAGGGTTAGAAACTCGCTGTCTGAGCCTACATTGGGGAGATTTCCACTCACTTCCTGTCCCAACCAACAGTAATAAATTGCCAAAAGATTCCATCCCTTCCCAAATCTATAGAGAAGCTGGTCTTTACTGTTTGGGAATATGTGGCACTACTTCTTCTGGTGTCCACTGATCAGTATAAGGCTAACTAGTAAAGATTGCAGTGTGTCCAAGCCAACTAATAGCCATTAAGCTGAGCCGTTTTTATTGTCGCCTTTGATTACATTCCAGCTATTGAGACACTTCTGCTTCAGCGCAGGAGGAATCCATGTGATATAAAATCAATTGAGCATTTCACATTTCTATTATGTGCCTTCTCAGTCAAGTGGACTTTTATCAGCAGCTGTAATCCATAAATCAATATTCCATAGCCTTTTCTCTATGCAAAGTGTCCGAGTAATGAACTAATTAAATGGTACCCAACTATATTCCACTGTCATGCATTGCCATGTAGAGTACATTTCATTAACACTGGCATCCAACCTGTATGCTTAGCAAGAAAATGTCTTTTGAAGTTAAAGTACATTTTGCAAGTTTTGGCTTTGCCAACCATACATTATATAAACCATTGTTGTTATTATTGCTTGAATTATCATCTTTCTCTTTGATGTGTGACCTTTCAGAGCCAATTCACACCTAAGTGTTCCATTTCAGTACATATCATGCATTTGGTACTGTGCATCTAATTCTGTTTTCCTATACTTTGCCAAGTGGTTGGCTTAAACAGACTAAATGTGGTCTTTCATAAGTATAGTAGTTTTAGAAGTAGGAATTCAATGGTAGCTTTTGCTTTTTTCTGTTATTACAGGTTTCCTTTAAACATGAATGGCAGTCTATTGTTCTTTACATCTACTATGGTTTCTAATTGGAAAGTTGCTTAGTTTTCTAAATATAGCTTGATAACAGTTTGTCTCGGTTGTTGAAGGTAGAGGGGCTGACAATACATTTTGTTGGTCTCCTAATACAGACACCCAAAATAATTTGTTGTTTAGGACTGCTCTGCTTTAGGATCACAGGGAGTCAGTGGGGTGTGCTGTATGTACACGACTGACTGATGTAACATGCTGAGGAGCTGAGGGGGGTAAGTACTTCATCCAACATAGGGGGCATCTGGTTGCCTCTGGAAGAAAGACTTTACCTCTAGTTTAGGAAGAGGTTCTTTCATTCTTTGCAGTTACAGTTTTGTGCAGACAAAAAATATTGAAGTGCTCCAGCTTGAAGCCACCCATTTTTTTTCACTATAATTTTTCAGGAAATGCTGCCTGCTGACCTTTGTAGTGGCAGCTACTTCTGCTAAGGAGACAAATCCCTCAGCTGGATAACTGTGGGCTGGTTAACCGGTGCCCTCAATGCCCCCCACCAATTGGTTCTGCAAGGCTCATCTATACAATGTAATCCTGCAGACACCTTTTCTCTGCGTTGCTTAAGGAAGATCCAGAAAGCTTGGTGTTTATATCACCCAGATGTCAAAGATTTCTTCAGGGGAAAGATACGTTTTAAAAAAAAAAAAAGAGAGAGAGATTAATGTCTAGAGTTGTGGGGGGGGGGGGGGGGGGTTTAGATTTATAGGCTGCTACCTTCAGTTGGTTGGACATTGGCGAAGGTTTTTGGAGATGCTTGCTTTGGTATTCCCATATAACTACCCCACTCGGTGAGCATTTTTTTTTTGCTAGTGTTCTTATGGGATGGACCTGCTCTTCCCTATGGAGAGGTTTTTCTATGCTTAACTAGTTTCCTTGTTTTAGCTTCCTCGACCATCTCTTCATTGCTTTCTTCTTCCATTTCTTTAAATTCTTTCTAAACATGGAAGGTACACACAATGTGTATAAAAAGAACAGAGTTGAACAGAGACCATAAGGGCATAGTGCCACTTAAACATAGATTAATGGCCGAATGTATCTGTAATAGAATTAACGTAATCTTCTGTAAATATTACAACTCATTTGGATCTAAATGAAGACCGAAGCAGCGCATCAGGATCAATGTAACCTCAATAACAACTTGGGAGCTGTACCCGGACCCCACGCTGTAGGGGTGGCCTGTAATGTTGTTCGGTAACTGGATCCTGCTAGGGTGCCTACCTTATGCAGCATGTGTTTTAGTCGATATACAGGTCCAGGGCTGTGGTTCAATCCTATGGATCCAAAACCTCGAAGATCCACTTTTTTTTATCCCCCTATTAAAGCAGAGTTCCACTCACCCTGTCAAAAAATAAAAGTCAGCAGCTACAAAAAATGTAGCTGCTGACTTTTAAAAAACAGCCAATTACCTGTCTCTTGGTCCTGCTGGGTGGCCCCCGCAGCCCGTTTCACCAGCCGTCCTGTATTCTAAGAGCCCGGCATCTTCAGTGTGGGCACCCGGCTGTGATAGCTTGCGGCTTCACAGCCAGGTACCCACTGCGCATGCGCGAGTAGCGCTGCACTTCATGAATGGTCCTGTAGTCTTCTGGGGCCTGTCACATTTGTCCCAAAAGACTAAAGGGAGGGAGGACACCTTCTGCTTCCAATCGCCTAGATCAGAGGTAGGCAACCTGCGGCTCTCCAGCTGTTGTGGAACTACATTTCCCATGAGGCATTGAAACATTACAAAACTGACAGTTACAGCTATGACTTGCAAAGGCATGATGAAACTTGTAGTCCTGCAACAGCTGGAGAGCCGCAGGTTGCCTACCCCTGGCCTAGATGATCAGACCGGAAGTGTTAACGGGTACCTGTCAAATTCGGGAACCCACTCCCCCATGCCCCCCAAAGGTGCCAATTCTTATTGGGGAGCGGGGGAGCAGTCCTTAAAGCGGAACTTCCCCTTTTGGGTGGTGCTCCGCTTTAACTATATAATTTTTAAATTCTTCACAATGTTTTTGGCTGTTGAGTCCAAAAACAGTTTGGTTTTTTTTTTTTTTTTTTTTTTTTTTTTTTAAACGGAGAAGTTTTTTATGAAATCACATTAGAGTTATGCTGCAGTTTACTTGTGCACAGTGTATAACATAATTATTTAGTGAGATACTCTCATCTAATACCTGAACCCGTCAATGGGTTCAGTTAAATAAATCCTAATGTCGTATAAAACAGTCTTTCCTGACTCTAGTTTTTATTGAAATATACACGACTTGCATTTTATTCTCATCTTCTTTAATTCAACAGATTTTTGTTTGTATTATTGGGTCCAAATGGAAAAGCCGCTCAGTATCATGAAATTGGAAGATCAATAGCTACTCTAATGACTGATGAGGCAAGTCCTATTTTTAACATTTGTGTATGCTTTTGACCATACCTATTGATTAATGTTTGATCTCATCTTGTTGGATGCCATCATTTATGTCTAGGCTCACCACAGTGATTACCAGTAAATAATTTAGAGGCCTTTTTTCTTAGTGTTCTCATAAGAAGGATGTAAAATAGTTCTATATATTGCTAAAGCTTATGGAGTGAGTGCTTCTTCTGGCAGTCTTGTTGAATTTTTGTACATATTTGCTTGTTTCTTACACAGACATTCACATGTACAGACAATTTATCCATATTTGACTTTTTGATGGTGCGGTTAATATTTATTGTTTTGCTAATTCTCTTTAACCACTTGCCCTCCAGAGGATTTACTTCCCTTCCTGACCAGGCCATTTTTTTGCATCATGGTGCTGCGTTACGTTACAATTGTGTGGTCATGCAAAGCTTCACCCATATTAAATTTACGTCCTTTTTTCCCCAGGATTAGAGCTTTCGTTCGTTTTGATCGCCTGTGCGTTTTTGTTGTGTTTTTTTTTTTTTTTGTGAAAAAAACTATATTTTTGACTTTTTGCTATTAAATATGTCCAGTAAAGAAAGTAATCAAATTTTGTCATAAATGTAGGCCAAAATGTATTCTGCTACATGTCTTCACTACAAAAAAATCCCAATACGTGTAAATTTATTGGTTTACATGAAAGTTATAGCGTTTACAAATCGCAGTGTATATATATATATATATATATATATATATATATATATACTGGGATTTTTTTTTCTTTAATTGATTACTAGTAATGGTGGCGATCAGCGACTTATAGTGGGACTGCGGTGGGCATTCTGACACTGGGGGGAACTAACTTGGTGTCCCATCCCCAGTGACACCAATACAGTGATCAGTGCTAATAAAAAGCACTTACACTGTACTAATGGCACTGGGCAGGAAGGGGTTAACATGTGCGGCGATCAAAGGGTTAGCTATGTGGTGTTTCATTGTGTGCTGTGTCTCTGTGCTTCACTGTAAGCACAATGCTTTGCATGGCTTTGCTATGCAAAGCCATGCATAGCAGTGTGCAGGAGCTGACGGGAGAAAACTGTATTGTGTACTTACAGTTCTCTCCCTCTGTCGGTAATGCTCCTCGATCTCCGGGTGCCGGCGAGTAATCACCGTACGGGACCCGTTGATTGACAGCAGAGGCCGCGAATAGCCCCCTACCCGGAAATGCGAAATCACGTGTGTGTGTATATATACAGTTGTGACCAAAATTATTCAACCCCCAATGCTGTAAAGTGGGGTTTAGGGACTATAGTGTACATTTGGAATTGTATTCAGAATCAAATCCTACAAGGACGTTGTAACTACCCAAATGCAACTAAAATGACATCAATTGTTTATGTAATACAGTAGTAAATGGTTCTTATGTGGTTTCTTCATTGCCACAATTATTCAACCCCTTAAAGACTATACCACTACCACTCTGAAGAGAGGTTCATACAGGTGTGCTTTCCATCAGGTATTGAAAACACCTGTGGATGTCACCGAGCAGCAATCAAGCATAATAAGCACCAATTAGGCAGCTTTAAAATGACTGTGATACTCAGCTCCTTCTAGACATTTACTGGTGTGGTTACAAACATGGTGTGAAGGCAAGAGAATGGTCCAGGAAGACAAGAGAAGAGGTGATTTCTCTTCACAGGAAGGGCAATGGCTATAAGAAGATTGCAAAGATGTTAAACATATACAAGAGACACCTTAGGAAGCATCATTCGCAAATTCAAGGCAAAGGGCACTGTTGAAACGCTACCCTGGTCGTGGCAGAAAGAAGATGCTGACTTCGACTGCTGTGCTGCTACCTGAAGCGTAGAGTGGAGAGAAGTCCCCGTGTGACTGACTGCTGAGGAACTGAGAAAAGATTTTGTCAGATGTGGGTACAGAAGTTTCAGCCCAGACAATAAGACGCACACTGCGTAATGAAGGCCTCCGTGCCAGAACTCCAGGCGTACCCCCTTGCTGTCTCAAAAGAATAAAGAAGAGTCGACTGCAGTATGCAAAAGCCATGTGAAAACAAACCACAAAAGTTGTGGGATAGTGTTCTGTGGACTGATGAAACAAAATTAGAAACTGTTTGGGCCCATGGATCAACGCTATGTTTGGAGGAGGAAGAAGCCAAAACAAGGCCTATGATGAAAAGAACACCTTGCCTACTGTGAAGCATGGTGGAGGGTCAATCATGCTTTGGGGCTGTTTTGCTTCTGCTTCTGCAGGTACAGGGAAGCTTCAGCGTGTGCAAGGTACCATGAATTCTCTTCAGTACCAGGAGATATTGGATGGAAACGTGATGCAGTCCGTCACACAACCTGAGGCTTGGGAGACGTTGGACCTTTCAACAGGACAATGATCCCAAGCATACCTCCAAGTCCACTAGAGCATGGTTGCAGAGGAAAGGCTGGAACATTTTGGAGTGGCCATCGCAGTCACCAGACTTAAATCCGATTGAGAACCTCTGGTGGGACTTAAAAAGAAAGCAGTTGCAGTGCGCAAGCCTAAGAATGTGACTGAACTGGAGGCCTTTGCCCATGAAGAATGGGCGAAGATACCCGTAGATCGCTGCAAGACACTTGTGTCAAGCTATGCTTCACGTTTAAAAGCTGTTATAACTGTAAAAGGATGCTGTACTAAGTACTAAGATTGAATGTCACTTGGGGGTTGAATAAAACTGATAATGCTGTGAGCACAGAAAAGACATTTGTGGAATTTCATTATAACTGTTATGTTATATTTGTCTGACCTACAAGTGCCTCTTTAATGTAAATGTAAGCAAGATGACTGAATGATCAAAAGCAATGTCAAACTGGCCAAAACACTCAATTTCAGTGGGGGTTGAATAATTTTGGTCACAACTGTACGTGATTTTACACACACAACCGTGCTGCCCTGTAGCAGTATTACTGCTATAGAGCGGACGGGAAGTGGTTAATGATGTGTGCACTATGTTGTCTAAAGTAAAAATTACAGTCCAATATAAAAGCTTGTGTTTGTGTGCAAGTTTTGCTTTTAAAAGATGTGTAGTCAACACACACTTTTCTGTTTTGGATAGAGTAGAAAAGGGTTAAAATCTTACTTTCTTTTTTTTACGTCTGTGTTTTGTTGGAGATTTCTTTTACTGTCTATTGCATCTCTGGGACAGGATTTCTGTCCGTAAAATGTTGGATTTTCCATTATTTACTCCTAGTGACTATGGCTACTAGGACAAACCAATAAGGTGAATCTTCTTAGTGGGAACACAGTCAGCAGTAAAAACGTCACTGGAGTTTTAATCCATACCTGTTCTATTTCAGGAAGAAAAACGTTTTGGCTCTACATGCTTGTCAAAGAATATCTGTACTTAAGTAAATGGACACCACAAGGCGTTTCCCTAACTTGGTGGCTAAGCTTCAAAGACTGCCAGACCCCTGTCTAATTAGATTGCCCTTACTGGAGTCGGTGGCAGCCTTATTGACTGCTTGCAGGACTTCACTAAGTCAGACCCTGTAACATAGTGAAACTAAATCACAGTTGGGCTCAGAAGGAACAAAAAAAAAAAAAAGAACTCCATGGAAAAAAAAATTCCCCCCATGCAGTGGGTCAGTGCCTACACTGCATGGCTTAACTACTTGTTTTGTCTAGGGGCTTACTGAAAGGCTGTACTTATCCTCCGGAAAACCGCACTTCACATCCAGCGGTGGACTGTTCCTCGTATCCTCACATCCAGAGCCAGTCTATAGGTGTGATGACATCAGGAACAGTCCATTCACAAGACCGCTAGAGTGTTGGGTGGGAAGGAGCAGCGGGGATCGGTCTAGCACTCGGAGGAGCAGCGGATTAGGTAAGCATATCTCTGCTCTGAATTCCCTTATACAAAAACGAACAGTTACCCATGCAGTGCTGGCACGGCCCCACTGCATGGAAGAAACAAATGTTTGCCTGGAGTTATTTAACAATTGTCTCCACACCTATTTGGATGGCATTAGTGGCGATTTTGTCAAAGATTTGGGGAGGAGGTAATTAGTTTCTGTTTCCTTCACAGATATTCCATGATGTTGCCTATAAAGCGAAAGACCGAAATGATCTTTTAGCAGGAATAGATGAGTTCTTAGACCAAGTGACAGTCCTACCTCCTGAGAGAGTGGGATCCATCTATACGCATTGAGCCACCAAAAAGTGTTCCTTCTCAGGTCAGTGTTCTACGTGGTTGGTTTTTCCTAACCTAAGCTGCTGAATGTGGATAAAAGTTGATCACTTGGAAAAGTTTCCTTAAAGTGTTACTAAACCCACAACAGTAAAATCAGTCTGTATATGCTGTAAAGCATGTTTGTTATATTCACTGTGGAACCTAATGGGTTAATCCTCCGCATTGTGTAAAAAGGATGTTTGATCCTGTATTCTCTGATCCTTTAGTTCTTCTACTGTCCCCAATCCATCTGCTGATAGAACAGAGCCTCAGGGAAAAGCTGTACATGTTCAGTTTGGTGTGTATTGCTAGACAGTTTTTTGTTTTATTTTTTCTTGGGAGAGTGCATGTGATCAGCACAGGGCCAATCAGAACTATCCAGACAGTGGGGCAGGGGTTATGCAGCCTCATAGGACACTCAGAGGAGAATGAAACCTCCTCCTACAAGCTTTAACAAGTGCTCAGCTGGACACTGATAAAAGTCACAAGACTGCTCTAACTGCTGATGAGAAAAGGTATTTAGCAGTTTATATTTGCTAAAATAATAGCATTTCCATTTTATGTGTACTGTAAGACCATGATATAGTGAATGTAGGGTCCTGGGTTTAGTAACACTTTAAGCAGGCAGCATTTATAAAATGCCCTAAATTCTGTACAAAGTGCAGATATTTTTTTTTCTATGCATTATTTATGTATTACATATAGCGTACAGTGTCACATTTCATAAACAAATTGCATGCTGTGTATATGTAAAAATAGATCAATTTATGTAATGTATATAAATATCCCCAATGGTATTTTTTTTCCATCACAGCTAATTATTGCCAGATAGTGCAAGGAAATATCAAGAGCAGTATATATCTGCATATGCATGAAAACAAATATTGGTAAAAATGGTCAGTGGCCATTGTACTTTTTAAAGCAGAAGTCAAGACAATATAATAGAGATCTTGTTCCATAGAGTATTTTCCAGTACATGCTCTGCTTGTCTTTTCTAGTTTAAATGATGCAGCCTAAAGCTGGCCATAGATGGATCGAAATTCAGCTAGTTAAACAGGGACCAGACAAATATTGATGCATCTATGGCCGGTCCTGTTGACCGCAGTTCATCTACTGGTTTAATTAGAACTGTTTTGGGAAACTGGTAAATCATTGGGTGTAGGTCTGCTTTAAGTTGGTATTATGGTATTATGTGATGTTGTAACTGAATACTGGTAGGAGAATTCTTGTCCAAAACATTAAAGTGGTTGTAAACCCTTACATTATATCCAGTGAAGGGACTTTCCCCAGGTGATACACAGATATGAAACAAATCCTCCTACCTAAGTTGTACCTGCTTAGCTGCAGTATTCTTTTTCTCTATGTCCATTCAAAGTGCTGAATTTATAAGCTTGTCCAATGATTTAGAAAGAAGGGGGTGGAGAGCTGAAGTTGCACTCTGCAGAGCTCATGAGGATGGCTCTGAGAGCTGAGAGAGATACACCCCCTCCACACAGCTCACAGGAACAGAACTGAGGCTGTCAGTCTGCTGTAGGTCACATCCCCTTCGAATCAATGGTGGAATGGTGGAGAAGGATCTGGGAGTTCTGGTAGATCACAAGCTTAATAATAGCATGCAATGCCAAGCTGAGGTTTCTAAAGCGAGCAAAATCCTCTCTTGTATTAAAAAAGGTATAGACTCCAGAGAGAGAGATATCATATCATTTTACTCCTGTACAAATCATTAGTAATACCTCATCTGGAATATGCAGTTCAGTTTTGGGCACCAATTCCAAAAAAAAATTGGGGAACTGGAGAAAGTACAGAGAAGGGCAACCAAACTGAAACGAGGCATGGGAAGAGCTCAGCTATGAAGAAAGATTAGAGGAACTGAATTTTTTATCTCTTGAAAAGAGGAGATTAAGGGGGGATATGATCAACATGTATAAATATATCAGTGGTTCATATAGTGAACTCGGTGTAGAGCTATTCACCCTGAGGTCGTCACAGAGGACAAGGGGGCATTCTTTACGTCTGGAGGAAAAGAAATGTAATCTCCAAACACGGAAAGGTTTCTTCACAGTGAGAGCTGTGAAAATGTGGAAATAGACTCCCTCAAGAGTTGGTTCTGGTCAGCTCAGTGGATTTGCTTTAAAAAAAGGCCTGGATTGTTTCTTCGATAACTGGTTGCTAACATTTATAGGTGAAGTTGATCCAGGGAATATCTGATCGGGGGATCAGGAAGGAATTTTTTTTTTTTTTTTTAAATGGTTGAACTGGATGGACTTTTGTTTTTTTTTACAGCCAGACCATGTCACCATTTTTTTTTTTTTTTTTGTGTCAGGAAAAATTGTCAGAAGCGATTTTATTTTCAAATATTTTTATTGAAAAGATTTTTAACATCAGAACAAATATATAACCATTAGAGTAGAAAGGTACACATATGTAAATTGAGAACATGTAAAGAGGATGAAGATGTAGCAAGTCCCCATCATGCGGCCGGGGAACGGAATATCGTAGTCATATGTACATGAGAGGTATGCTCATTAATATGTGAACCATGTTGGGGTAACAGGATCTTAAAGGTGGATATAGATTGGAATAGAAATTTAAACAGGGATTGGAAAGAAATAGGGAAAGGGGGGAGGAGGGGGATAAGGCACCGTTATCTTTATCTTAGAAGTAAGTATCCTATGAAAAAAAAATTGAAATTAGTAATCTGTTAATTGGACAGTTGGGATGATTTAGCCATCGAGACCAGTGTAACGTAAATTTGTGGTACATAGAGTTTCGAATGGCCGTTCTTTCGCTCCATCTCACACTGCAGGTTGAGGTCATTCACCAGACGTGAAAGCAGAGGAGATGATGTGGATCGCCAGAGTTTTGGTGATGTTGATCTTTGCCGCCGCTAGGATGTGTAAGATAATGATGCGTGAGTTTGAGGGAATGTATCTATAGTTATATGAAGGAGGGCCAGGCAGGATCTGGAGCTACAGGTGTGTCTGTGATTGAGGAGATCAATTGGAAGACTTTTTATTCCAGTAAGATTTGAAAGAGATTGAGAGATTTGCATGACCAAAGCACATGTTTTCTCCACAATGTCTCCAGCACGCCTGGACTGTTGAGGGTAATAGAGAGATTGTTTAGTGGGGGTAAGATACCATTGGTGGAGGATTTTCAGGTATGATTCCCAATGGGCACTACATTTCGACGCTTTATAAGTAATGTTGAACGTTGTTTCCCAGGGATGTGGGCTTGTCGAGAGTGTTAAGGTCTTTTTCCAATTAGTCAAGGATGAAGTAGAAGTTGTGAATTGCGCTACGGTCAGAAGTGTATAAAAAGTAGATATTCCTTTCTTCGGATATATGGTCCTATTCAGGAAGTGATGTGCAGTAGCTGGTATTTCTATTTTAAGTGGTATGTTTGTTTTGTGAAGTGAATGGATTATTCGCATATAGGTGAATTGGTCTTTATCAGGAAGACTAAATTTCTTCTGGAGAGTCAGAAATGTATCTGGTTAATGGGTGCTAAAAAGGTCTTAGATATGATATATTCCAAGCACTTTCCATGAGGCCACGGTTCAGATGCGGGGATACAAAATGTAGGATGAAAGCGGTGTAAGAAATTCGAAGATTATCCTTATTGGAGCAAGTATAAGTTAAGAAGTCATGCCAAGCCGTCAGGGCAGCTTGCACGCATGTGTGTGTGTATGTAGAGGTTTATTCCAGGCCGCACGAGGCACCAAATAAGGCATCTGTTAGTGAACTTGGTGTGTGCATGGATGCCTCCATACGACTGTCCAAGTTTTTATCCGGGGACGGCATATGTGTGCCACCAGAAGAAGAGCTGGATGGTCTAATAGAACGGCTTGATAGTACGAATTTTATATGCGGGAGACCTGCTTCCCCATCCTGGCGAGGGCAGGCGGATGTATTAAGAGGTTTGTAGTACATCTAGAGGAGTTTGGAATTCCATAAGAGATTGGTTAAAAGATTTTTTTGAAGTTTGGAAGAAAAAGGGTGGAGGGGTGCTGGAATAGGAAGCGTGCGGAAAATATAAAGTATTCTTGGGCAATAATGCCACAATAGTTGCTGTTCTGCCTAGTGTTGAAAGGGTATTTGTGCGGAAGCTTCTGAGCTCTTGGGGGATTGTCGTCAAGTAATGGTTTGAAGTTAGCTGTATAGTAGAGTTGGGCTGTATTGGCATCAGTTTGACTAGCGTGCGTCTTTTCCCCATGTTGGAAAGGGAAACGCTGTGATACGTAGTTTCTGGGTTGCAAGGGTGTAGAGGTGTAGGATGGAAGCTTGGCCATTGCGTTCGTAGTTAACGATACCGCTGTGGTAGGCATGGGGAATGGGTGCCGTTTTGTAAGCGATTTGTTAGGGTTTGTAATCAATGTAGGGATAATGTCATCCGCAAAGGAGACTAATTTTATGTTCGCTCTTAAGAAAATAAATTACTGTTGGACATTCTGAGATTTGGACCTAGCGGTTTCGAATAAGTAAATGGCAAAAAATCTATGCGGCTCGAAAGACGCTTCCTTGCCTAGTTACCAAAGTGGATATTGGGAAATAGAAGCGTGGCCGTTCGAAAGTATCCCTAGCAGAAGGTTTGGAGTATAGGAGAGAATCGCTGACAGCAATCCAGGGTCTGCTTTATTTCCGTATTCCTGGAGTGTAAGTAGTCCATAAATTTCCAATGGATTCGTCAAATGGCTTTTCGCGTGAAAGAAGGATGTGAGGGGTTGGTTATCAGCTTCAAGGTGGTGCAGTAGTGATTATAATTCGTCGGTGTCGCGTCCGGGGCCTGTCTCCAGGGATGAATCCCACTTGATCAGGGTGAATTAATGTAGGAAGGTATGGGAGCAGTCGTTCGTGAGCTATTATCTTGGCGTATAATTTTTTAAAGTCTTGTATGTATTAAGTAATGAGATCGGCCTGTCTAGTTTTGGACTAGTTGAGGGTCTTTAACCTGGTTTTGGGGATAGTGGTAATTATTGATTTGCTAGCATATCAGAGGGAAATTCCCCCTTTGAAACAACGCTTGATTATAAAGGGCGGAGAGAGATGTGACTTAAGGTTGGGGGTGCAAACGATTTGTAGAAATATTCGTTAGTGAAACCATCATTAACCTGGTGATTTGTTCACATGGGTAAACTGTTAATAGTTTTCTCAATCTCAATTCTGGCGGGTGAAATCGGCACAGAGAGGGAGTCAAGTTGGGAAGAGGTGAGTCGAGGAAGAGCCTGCAGCGCGCTTAGGAAGTTTTCAATGGAGAGGGGAATCGTTGGTTGTGCTGTATCTCCGGATCATCTTTTATGTTATTAGAGTTTGGTAAATTAGCATGCAAATGCATTAGCTATGTCTTGTGGGTTCGATAATGGGGTCCCGCGAGTGTGGGTGTTTGGACTGTGGGAGAGATTTTTGTTTTTTAAGTCTTTTTTGTTTAATGGTTTTGGCGAGAAGAGAACCTGTTTTATTAACCAAGTGCATAGTATTGTGTTTTTGTTCTTAGGAGGTTCGTGTCATAGGTTGTGTAGTAAAATAGCACGTAATTTATAATTTCTATCTCTATTTAGGGCCGCGGGATGTGGGAATGGGGTTCGGAATTCTGTTTATTAATTTCTTTCGTTTATATGTATAGAGGTCAATAGTTGGTCTGTTTGCTGAGATCTCTGCTTTTTAATACGGGAGTTTAGTTGTATGAGGATACCTCTCATGTAATGCTTTGTATGTCAGACCCAGAGTGTAGTGATAGAGATATCTGCGGTTGTGGCATTAGTTTTTCAAAAAAGAGATTATGAGACGTCCAATTATATACATCTGGTTATCCGGCAGTTTTCAGGAGTGCAGAATTAAGTCTCCCATATGGGTGGGATTGCCCGACTTTTGGCTGTCAATCCCAGGGATAATGCTGATTCGGGGCATGGTCAGACCAGGGTATGGTACCAATACTAAGGAAGATGAAACAAGTTGCAGTGTCCATATTTGTCCGTGAGGAACATAATCAATCTTGAGTACGGAAAGGATGCGGTGTGGAAAAATAGGTGTAGTCTCTTTCAGGAGCCATGCTGGCCATCTCCATAGATGTCGTATAGGTCATGATCATGTAGAACGCGGTTGAGGTCAAGGTTGGCAGCTTTTTTGTTGGAAGATTGAATCCATATATGTTGTTATTGAGAACATTAAGATCTCCCCCAATAATGAGTCTACCTTGTTTTGTGCTTAGAGATTGAGATTGAAGAGTGTTTGCGAAAATAAATTTTAGAGTGTTTGCTGTTTGGACCGTATACATTCACCAAGGTATAGGTAATGGTCGTTAATTTGGCATATCAATATAATATAATCGCCCTTGCGGGTCGACTATGGAAGAGGTGTGTTTAAACGTTAGAGAGTCATTAAACCGGCAATAATTACTCCGTTTTTCTTCTTAGGCAATAGTCGCCATACAATAATAATTGAGAGAAGCGGTTAAGATATAGTTAAGAAAGGGTTTTATTTTCCCCGTAGTGAAGTGTGGAATTCTTGTATGAAGAATAAGTCAGTTCTAGATTTCCGGATTTCTCTGGAGAGAATCGATCTTTTGAAGGGGGAGTTGAGGCCTCTAGCATTAAGAGAAGTGATAGTAATCATTGAAAATATTTCCCGAGTATATATCCTAGTTGGGTTGTTGTTTGATTATAATTAAGCGTGTGTGTGGTTTCATTCCAGTGGAGAATAGTGGAAAAAAGACTAAAGAACAGGTAAGTCTCGATATGAAACTGTAGGTAGCGTATTCCATCTATAGTCCTGTATGTCAAATCTTATGATACTACTGTTGATAGTCGGTGGTGCCAAGTGAGAGGGAGGATCGGGAAAGGGAGAAACGACAGTAAAAAAACACTTGCATGGTAACGCAAGTAACCAATGTAGCTATGATTGGCTAACGTCAAGGAGGAGGGGGTATGAACAATTCTGACCTCCAGGGGGGTCATGTCTGTATGCAAACTTGAAAAACAGACAACCTTGAATGTAGCCGCGGCCGATCGCCAGAGTTGTAGAATGTGTATAGTTACCGTACCTATGGGCGGCTAGGTATATGGTAGAGTATACGGGTGCCGTGTGTGCCTTCGCGCGCCCTTCAGGTCGCCAGCTCCATAATTTTGGATTGGGGGGAATTAAAAACTAGACCGTATTTTCCCTTGAGTCAGCGGGCAAAATGCTCCAAGCTTTAAGGAGAATCTAGGCCGGCGGCCCCTAGATTCCGGATAGTATAGGTTCTAACCTTGAGTTCCGTACTAAGGAGCTTTAGTGGGGAAAGCCCCATTGAATAGGGGCAATGCCATGATTTTCTCAAAGCTTTAGTGATTGATATCATCTTTTTCCTGATTTGAAAGTGTGGCTTTGGATAGGTCAGCATATTAAGCGTAGATTCGCATGAGACTGTGGGAGCGATGGCGGGTTTCTAGCCGCTAACATAATTTTCCTCTTTGATCTGATAGAAAATGAATGGCGGGATAAGGCACGTCTCTAGGGATAGAGGCCTGTAAAAATGAGGGCTTAGGAAGTCGATGTGCTCGATCGATCACGACCTCTACTATTCGGAGAGAGTGTTGGTATCTAAGCAACTTGAGGAAGTGTTGTAAAATATGCAGCAGTGCCTCCTTGGTAAATTGTTTTTCAGGGATCCCTCTAATTTTTATATATTACTTACGGCGTGATCTATCTTCCAATCGTCGAGCTAATTTTAGTTGAATTTGTTCGATGTCGGACACATGATCTGCATGGGCATCAATCAAATCATTATGTCTGCTGCGACTATGTCTCCCATGTTGGTTTCAATGTGGCGAATTCTACGTTTCCTGCCAGTTGCACTCAGGGTGGTGAGCTGAGAGTAAGTGGAGCAGATATGTCGTTGTGTAATGTTTGCCGAACGCAGAGACGCAAGCATATTTTTCATGCTTATCTCTGTGAGTGCGATCTGATCCGACGCAGGGAATGCATCTATGGTAGGCATAGCCATGTGCGGTAGCTGATGTGGGAGTTTTGGGGCCTGCAATATAGTATTGTCGTCACAGTCCAGTGTTGGCCTGGATTTGGCCCGGGCTGCTGGTCGTGGGAGATAAGGGAGGTGACAACTCACCAGGGTCCCCTGGGTAAAGCTGTGTTGACTGACTGCCTAGGGAATCCGCACACTGGGCTCTGTAGCTCCTCCTCAGATGGGCTGCTGCCACTCCCCCACGTGCACTCCTGTGATGCGGGGGCGCCATCTTGGATTGCCCCCCAGGCATGACGGCCGGGAAGCAAGTTAGTTAACTATTCCCTGGTTGCCCCTGGCTCTGTTTCCTGCGGGGCATGTATAGTGGGCTGCGGGACACACTGCGACTAACAGTGTGTCTGCCGTTCGTTTCCGCCCCCGGAGTTGGTGAGTGCCGATTTATCCTCTGATCTCCGGGTGGACGGAGCTGTCACTACTGCAAACGTCCATCACCGAGCCGGGCCGCGCATGCGCCCCCGTCAGAAGCGATTTTTAATGTGGATCAGCACAGGAATGAAACCACAGACAGAAATGACACTTTGGTAGCTCTTAATTGAGACAAGTACACACTACTGTATAGAAGGATATGCTTTGTTCATGTTTAAGGTCTGAAGTTTACAACCACTTTAATGGGAATCCTGAAGTCTCTAGAATCAGGTAAAGAGGTGCTGACTGTCATAGAAGGGGTTGCTGAAACTTTATTTTGATGAAACTTTATTACTACAGCAACTTATCAGAGTGTCTGATATATCAAGAAATATAAACTTCAGAACAATAATATACAAGGTGCAAACTGATTAGTAGAGGTTTGCCACAGATGAAAAACATTCACTTTTTATTGTTGTCCAATCAATGAGATCATCACACAGTTAATTTTTTTACATTGTTTTCCACATTACAGAATTGTTAAGCCGTAATCTGATCACATTCAGATTACATGAAGTATAGCTTATCTAAACTAAACTAGATGCAATCAATACTATAACACTGCATTTGCTGCCAACAGCAAAAATGTAGATCTACCTCAGGTCTTAATATGATCATTTTATTCTATGGATCCCAAGAAGTATATTGTTCTATTGTCCTGCACACCTGAAACCCAAACGTATCTTTTAATGGTGAGTATTCTCTTAAGTCATGTCACTGCTCATATGCATGAATAGTTTATCTGAGCGACTCCTTAACTCTTATCCATGTGTACAGAAAAGCGCAAGATCCCAACTATCCCAAATGGTTCAACACCAACCAAGTGAGACGTTAAAAGAGGAACAACACCATGCTGGCCCAGAGCTCCAGAGAACTGGAAGGTGTGTATCGTGCTCTGCAATTTTATATTAGCAAACTGAAAATGCTGAAATAATGTTTAATGAATAGTTCTAGAAACTGCCTCCTTGTAGATTTTTCTATGTGGCACTGACCGTCATGGCTAAGGACTTAAATCTATAAATTTTTATTGTGGCCTTACTAGAGAAAACTTTAAGATCAGTTTATTTTACACTAATATAGGCTTTTAAATAAAATGTGAGTGTTTGTATGTTTTGACTCCATTTCTGGCGCTTATTAATTTATTTTTAACTAATCTGTAAAATGCTAAATGTACAGTGTATTAAAAAAAAAAAAAAGGAAAGTAACACATTTTAAGCATTACACACACTGTGTGTGCATAAAAACCAGACTAACGTACCTATGTTTAATAAGTACAGAGGGCTCATTTTTTGTTTGAACTTTTTCATCACAAAAATTGCCTTTTTCAAATTGATGTGCTTCTGGTGGCCTTTTGTCCCAATAACCTTCTTCGCTCCCACTGCTTATCAGAGGGTTTTGATGTTTATACTGCTAATGGGAAATTGTCATGTTTTTCCAGGTTTTACTTGTTGTACAGGGGAATAAAATAATAACCCATAGAAAACAACTGACACTCATGATAGTATGGCTGAACAATTGGATAGGTGCATAATCATTAGCGACAATAATGCTCAAACATGTAGGCAAGAAACACAAAGGGGCCAAAAGGAACATTTCCTGTTGCCCGCAGAAACCAGTCAGTCAATGTTTCACTTTCATAGCAAGACTAGAAAATGATTGGTAGGTGTAAGTAATGAAAACCTTTAGTTTTCTTTGCTTGTTTTTGATACTTTAACTTTTCAGACTGTTGGATAAATTCATTTAAATTAAACACATTTATACCAGGATGAATAGATCTTGGTAAAACTGACAGAATTTCTAATATTAAAAATTTCTGCTGAATGGAATGTGAATGGCATTTCTGTTTCTAGGTCATGGGGCTAATATATAAATTCTAAAATGATCCTTACATCAGTATCTCAGGGTATTTCTATTGGCAACAAGTCCACATTTTTTCCATGTTTCATACGTCTGCTTTAATGAGCCTGCATGTAAGAAGGTAGAGCTTACTTAGACATACACACTTTTTACATTTTAGTCAACAGCTTCTTGAACTCCAAATACTTCATTAAGTTTATTTTTTTAAACTGGATGTCGTTGTCCTGGTAAAATTGTTAGACAAGTTAGCTAGATGACGCACAGTCTATAATGGAAAATCCAGTAGCTTTATTGAAGAAAATCCATATATCGAAAAAACATAACCGTCTCAGAGAACAGCTGCTCCTGTCTCTGAGGCTGTATTTTTTTATATATATGTATGTTTTTTTCAATAAAGCTACTGGATTTCCCATTATAGACTGTGCGGTCATCTACCTCATCTTGTCTGCACTTCACGACTGCAAACCAGACCAGCATCTGTTTATGGGGAGAGAGGGCTAGAGTGTGATAGACCAACCTGCAGCAGTGTCTACTCATTTTTTGCTTTGGATCTGCTGGTAAAATTGGTATTATAGCCAAGGCCAGCTGCCTTTTGGCAATTTAATTAAATTAATGACCATAGCAGGATGGAAGCTCCATATATATTCCTTGGTCTCGACACAGGCTTTCAGTCCTGTTAGGATGTGACCCTGATAATGTGACATTTTTGGATAATATCTAATGATTATAACTCCAGAAGAGGGTGAGCATTGTAGGAGTGGCACTGGATTGCAAACACCTAAACGGTTTTACAAATAGGTTTTTATGCAATATACAGGTTTGTTTAAAAAAAAACCTAGAAAATCATGGCTCTTCCCACTTGCATAACTGTACATTGCATCGCAACATCCATTGTAATTTATGCAGGTTTATAAATGATTTCATATGACTGTTTAACGCATGTATAGTATTATGTAAATAATGTTTATTTGTTACAGTTATTTCTTTTTTTGGCAGTTAGAATAAGAAATGAATTGGAATTCAGTAGCTATTCCCCAGTTTTATTTGTAGAACCATCCCTGGATAAATATAGATGTGGTCAAATTTTATGAAAACATACAATGGTTAATTCTATGTCCTGCCAGATTATTTCAAATAAAGGCCTCTTTGTGGTCCACTAACAGAAGGGGCCTAATGTCCAGGATCTATGGGGGAGATTTACTAAAACTGGTGCACTCAGAATCTGGTGCAGCTGTGCTTGGTAGCCGATCGGCTTCTAACTTCAGCTTGTTCAATTAAACTTTGGCAATAAACCCAGAAGCTGATTGGTTTCTTTGCAGAGCTGCACCAGGTTTTGCACTCTTCAGTTTTAGTAAATAATCCCCTTGATGTCTAAAGATAGAAGCCCCATTCTGGCTACCCCATTCAGTGCTCTATGTGCAGGTTTTCAGTAACCCATAGCTGCTAATTGCAGCTGAGCTTTTGTTGGTCTCATTACGCTCATCAACAAAAAAAAAGTTTGGTTGCCATTGGCCATTGCCCATAGCTAGTCTTTGCACTGTGTTGGCAAATATACCAGTTTCGATAGTAGTAACTATGCAAAAGTCCAAGGGCTAAATATTAAGAGTGAAATGCCCTGGCCATCATACCCCTTCTGTTCTGCTGGGTTTAGGGAGGGGATTGCAAAGATTTTTTTTTTCAATGTAGATGGTTAGCTCCTTTTAAATAAGAACGTAGTTAGACTCCTGCAGTGTCCAGATTGACGAGTTTCATCTCACCTATTTAGGCTTTTTGGTGGTTTGATGCATGACATCAAAAGGAAAGCACCTTTTTTCTTGAGTGACTTCAAGGATGCATTAAGCCTGCAGTGCCTGGCCTCCGTTCTTTTCCTATACTGTGCCTGTATGTCTCCTGTAATCACTTTTGGAGGTCTCCTGGGAGAGAAGCCACACAAAACAGAATAGTGAGTACAAAAGAAAGATTGGTAGTGCCCAGGCTTTTATTAGACCTTCTCAGGAAGGTGTCCATGTGCATTTGTCTCACGTGTTCATGCTTGATCCAAAGAGTCTACCCCACAGTATTTGAACTTCCCCCCGCTTACAGCTGTGACACAGTTTGGGGGAGCCCAAGTGAACAGAAGATGCAGAGTTTGAGGTAAAACAGTTGTACGTCAGGAAGTCTAACAAGACATGGTCCCAAAGCGATCTCCAGAGTCCTACGCCAGGCAACATTTTTTTATTTGCTTCTTTCCTTGCTTTTAGGTTTCTGTTTGTTACTTGAATAAGGTAAAATGCTTTATTGTAGTTCTGTCATTTGTTTTCCAACTAATAAGTTAAACTACCAGGATTTTTTTCTGCAGCATTCATCAATTTATGTATATGCACAACCTATACTCACTATGAAAACAGCCGACTTTTTGAGTTGCTACACATCTGCACTTCGGTGCTTGTGAGACCTTGCCTCTGTCTAACCTAAATCTTGCCCCACACTGGCCATTTATGGCAGCAGACACCCGCCTCTTCATAAGCTGTCTTCCTTTAAAGCAAAGTCTAGTTAGATCTTTATTGCATAGCTGTATTGGTCTAGATTGGACTAATGTAGGTATGCATATCTCATACATGAGGGACTGCTGTGGAAGTTGACAATCACAGAAGTAGTCTCTGCTCTTCCAGGTCCTATGCTGAGCAGCTTTCTAGAAAACCCACAGGGGGTTTGCGCGCTTGGTCATACCACCATGTACAGAACGCCTTGTATTTTTTCCAATAAATACAAGGCATTCTGTGATTGGATGAGGTGTAGATCATGACATCACCTGCCTCTCCACCTTGTCCAATATGAGAATACCTTGTATTCTTTGAAACACAAAGGCATTTTGTAAATGGCAGAAGTGTGAAGTGAGCAACCCCCCTGTGGTCACTATGTGAAGGAAGCTGCTCAACGCAAGAGCCAGAAAATTGTTGCGATCTCAGTAGTTGCATTGACTACTGCAGTGCTGGACTAATGTAATTATGCAGTAAAGGTTATACCTAGCTTTCAGCTTTGAGGAATAACCTAAATCTATGGTTCAGTGTCACTAATATTTAATCAATATTCTGTGTGTTCTTAAGATTTTACTGGTTCAAAATGGCTGTCTCCATCATGTGTATAGTAGACAAGTGCACATTATAATCATGGCTCTATAGTCAATTATGAAAGACTTTCTTTTTCTTCTGTTACTTCATTTTAGAAATGTATGCATAATATGATCCACAAGCCCTGTCTTTGTTGTATTTAAATGTGTAAAATGTAAGTAGCCTTACTTTATCATAGTGTATTATTAACTCTTGTTTATTAGCAGATATTGGTATTTGTGTAAACTGTTAAACTGGGCAGAGTTTTGATTGCCGCAAAGAAATTTGACTTTTAGACCAATTTATACCACTTCTAGTGCAAAGGTGTATATTACACGCTCACTTCTGAAGTCTGAATATATTGCAAGTTCAATTTTGAAGTTATAATAAACATAGAGGGTTAATCTGGATAAACAGAATTCTCACTTCATGTTGCATAGATGCAGGAAGTTGGTGGCAAATTGTATGTAGGTGTCCAAGAACAAATGGACCTGATAAAGAGAATTGTTTTTCAAAATAGCGTAGAAATGTGTAGTTGAATGTAAATTGTTGTCAGTGTGTAATCTTTTGTGCAGTAATGTCTGTACCGTTCAGTTAATTTTTACTGTGACCTGCACAGGCTGAGTCGCAGATGAGGTAGTGTACATGCTATGTTTGCAGATGATGAGCTGTGTGTTGTCATGTGGATTGTGGTTGCTTGATATGACTTTATTTTTATACTTTTTTGTCTGTGTTTGTACCTCTTTTATGTGAACTTTTGTTACTGAACAAAAAATGCAGCCCTTTATTTTTGTTTCTTCTGAACAGAGTGCAATAGAGTCTCTTTTTGGAGCATCGCTAACGGGCATTGCCTATTCTCTATTTGCTGGACAACCTCTCACCATATTGGGAAGCACAGGACCTGTCTTAGTGTTTGAAAAGATTCTTTTTAAGTTTTGCAAGTGAGTATTATTTAGCATCTGTCTGTTGCATAGCATATTAACACGTGAAATTACGAGCAATACTCCAGGTTAGTCACAGCACATCAATTAAAGTGGAACTCAGAGGAAAATAATAAGTTGCCTATTTTGTGGAGAACTTTACCCATCATTTAGTGACCTATGCATCTTTTTTGCATGGATTATCCTATTTGCATATCTTAATCTATATATATGTTAAAATGGTTGTTAAGGGTTTTTTTTACTTTAATGCATTCTTTGCAATAAGTTTATTTATTTCAGGTACTTGTATAGCACCATCAAATTAAGCAGCGCTTTACATATATATTGTACATTCACATCAGTCCCTAACCCTCAAGGGGCGTACAATCTAAGGTCCGTAACTTACATTCATACACATACTAGGGCCAATTTAGACAGGAACCAATTAACCTACCAGCTTGTCTTTGGATTGTGGGAGGAAACCGGAGTACCCGGAGGAAACCCACGCAGGCACAGGGAGAACATGCAAACTCCAGGCAGGAGGTGCCGTGGCTGGGATTCGAACCAACGAAGTGCTAACCATTTAGCCACTGTGCTACCTCACAAGTTAAAGAAAAATCTTTCATATGCATAATCCCCCCCTCTCCCCAATATTTAGGTGAACCTGATCTCGATCCAACGTTTTTCTGGAGAGAAGCAGCACTTCTCTCTCTTTTTCTATCTCTCTCGCTTTCTGGGGTGGGGCCAAGCAGGGGAGCCGTCCCAGGAGCAATCTTGCATGTTTTTTTCTTTTTGCATTTTGGTGCATTGACAGTCAGTGTACACGGATGTAATAGTGTCTGTTATATTGATTGTATTTATACATTGATACTTTGGTAAAATTTCATATTTACCATGTTATAGGGAACATTTACTAATGTTAATTATGCATAAGTAGTACCTGGAAAAAAATGAACAATTTGTCTGATATTTCTTCTATGAAATGAAATGACTGCTAGTCTCAGGAGATTTGGAATGAAATTTAGTGACGCCACTACTGTGCTGATTCCTGTTCTTGCTGGAGGTGCTGACATGAGAAAAGAAAGCTCTGCCTATACCAAGATGACTGCCTCCACATAGAGTCATGGTCCAGAACAAGACATGATGGGGTTGATATATTAACTGCTTCTCTACCACCCTATAGCAGAAGTGCTGCTACAGGGCTGCGCAAAATCACTTGAATATATATGTGATTTTGTACTTCCGGGTAGAGGGCGCACGTGTGCTCCCTACCCACACCGCTATAGGCTCCTCGGCATGTCGGTCACCGGATCCCAGCTGCCGATTCTCGGCCAGGACTCGGTGACTGTCAAAGGAGCTGACCGGGGAGAGGTCTGTATGTAAACAATACAAATCTCTCCCCTGTCAGCACAAACAGGCTACTTTGTATTGCTCTGCACAGTATAGCAATACAAAGCAGCTTGTCTACACATTACATCATACACAGCACACGTTTAACCCTTTGATTGCCTCATATGATAACCTCTTCCTACCCAGTATCATTAGTACAGTGTCAATGCTTTTTATTAGCACTGATCACTGTATTAGTGTCACTGGGCATGTCAGTGGCATTTAGTCAGTTCCCACCCAGTGTCAGAATGCCCGCTGCAGTCCTGCTATAAGTCTCTGGTCACCGCCATTACTAGTTTAAAAAAAAAATCCCAGTTTATATACCACCATTTTTAAACGCTATAACTTTCATGTAAACCAATTAATTTACATGTATTGGGATTTTTTTTTAGCAAAGACATGTAGCAGAATACATTTTAGCCTAAATTTATCCCGAAATTAGATTTTTAGAATTTTTTTATTGGACATGTTTAATAGCAAAAAGTCGAAATTACTAAGGTTTTTTTTTTTTTTCAAAATTGTCGGTATTTTTTTGTTTATAGCGCAAAAAATAAAAAACACACAGGTGATCAAATACCACCGAAAGAAAGCTCTGTTTGTGGGGGAAAAGGGAAATAAATTACATTTATGTACAGCATTGCATGACCACGCAATTGTCAGTTAAATAATGCAGTGCCGTATCACAATAAATGGCCTGATCAGGAAAGGGGTAAAGCCTCTGGAGGGCAAGTGGTTACAACTGGAGAGTGCAAAATCTGGTGCAGCTCTGCATTTAAACCAATCAGCTATTTTTTTTTTCGTCAAAGCTTTTGAACAAGCTGAAGTTAGAAGCTGATTGGCTACCATGCACAGCTACACCAAATTTTGCACAATCTAGTTTTAGTAAATCAACCCCCATGAATCAATAATAGGGGAAGAACAGCTTCGGGAAGGCCCCTCCAAAAAATATAATACTGGTGACTTGTCTTTTGCCCTCTGCCTGCATTTCCTCTGGAACTTCCAAATCATGGTTCTTCTTTAACTCCAGTGATGTATATCTTTAATGTGCATGCTACTATTAAATTACAACTTGCCTTGACATAGGGTCTTTATTGTTGTTTTTTTTTTTTGTTTTTTTAGAGATTACAAACTGGCCTACCTGCCTTTGCGCACTAGTATCGGTTTGTGGACGGCACTCCTTTGTTTAATATTGGTGGCCACGGATGCAAGCAGCCTGGTCTGTTATATTACGCGATTCACAGAAGAAGCATTTGCTGCTCTCATCTGCATAATCTTTATTTATGAAGCGCTAGAGAAACTGTACCACTTGGCAGAAAAATATGTTTTCAATATGCACAATGATCTCGACATGCTGACAAAATACTCGTAAGTCTAAAAAATAATTACTGTCACTCTTTACTCATTTGTTGCATCTGTTTTGCTAAAATAGCCGCAGTCTGTTCATTGTATCTGTTTGTGTCTATGTAACAAGGCTCTGGCCAGCAGCCTTATGTCACATGGCTCTGTAATTCAGGCCACACTTCGGTTTGGTACACTTGGGGACACTTTTGACAAAGCCTTTTCTATGTTCTATGCCGGCATAAAAATTAAACGTGCTAAGATAATGAAACAAAAAAAGCCAACATCCAATGATGGACAGTAAGTTGTATTTAAGAAATATGAACTGGTTTATAATAATTGTCATGAATCTTTATGACCTCATTTGTTTAGGACCTGTTCATACCCTTATTGTCTCACAGTAAAGTGCATACATTTCAGGCAGAAATCCTATTTTTTTTAAAACTAGAAGGGTCCATTCACATCTATCCACATGTGTTATCATGCGCCTTGTGATCTGCTTTCATAGGTGTGAATGAGTCCTAACGAAGCAGGATGTCTAGCCAAACTGCTGATTTGACTGTGTGAAGTTCTTTTTACATCTTCATATTCCCTGTTGATAGTTTGATAGTGTTGCCATTGTCAATAAGACCATTACTAGCCTGATGAAAACTGAACTTGGAAGGCACATCATCGAAGAAATATTAGACACCCACAAGCTGAGTAAATGAAAGGCTTTTTCAGCCCAAATATTATAATTTTAAATTTTTTTTTTCCCTCAATCCTCTGCGACCAATAGTTCTTCCTGACCTTTCCCTTGAATGTATTGAATGTACACTTTCTTCTTCTCCACACAATTTCTAAAAGTTATTAGTGAGTTTGTCGTATCAGTGTTAAAGGGTAAGTTTCCCTTTTGAACATTTTACATGTTCTCTCCCACCCCACCCTTCCCTCTGACAGTGGGCAGGAGATCTTCTTTCCTATATCCGTGATCACTTTTTAAAATTTGCACAGCCAAATCCGTCATTCACAGGGTTCTTCAAATGAGTAAATTACAAGTTCTGTCTGCTACCACAGCAGATGGCTTGTAGTTCTCAATGGACTGTGAACGTGCTGATCAGCACACTTGTAGTCCTTTCACGCTTTCTCCAGCTTTCCAACTGAAAAGCTGGAGGAAGAGTGTGCAGGAGCCTGACATTGCATCCACGATCCACTGACCACAGGTGCAATACTTTTCAGGTTCATGTAGAAAAAAAACAATAAATGCACATATTTTATTATTTTTGTTTTTTTTTGTTAAAGGTAACATTATCCTTTAAACTTTAATTTACACTTTTGGACTGTTATCTAGGTGTGTTTGTGCAGAGCCAGTCAGCCCAGACAACAAGACCCTTGACTTCTGGAGTGACAAGAATATTACTGCCAGTGAAGTAACATGGAATAACCTCACTGTCTCTGTAAGTCTCTGTACATCTGTTTCACAGCCGTGTGTGTGTGTGTGTGTGTGTGTGTGTGTGTGTGTGTGTGTGTGTGTGTGTGTGTGTAATAATAATGCTTAATACCTATTGTGATCCTAAGACAATCTAATGGTGAACTCACACTGGGGTTGGTTAAAATTAACTGCATCCAATTGTTATTCTCCCTCCCCACTCTCTGCTGGTCTGCACTCATAGTGGACTTTTAGGAAATATTCCTGGGACCAAACCAGTGATCCATGCTTCAGTACTTTGGGATCTATGGAGAGTTACATAGTTTGGGGTTGATCCTGCTATCTTTTGCAATCTGTCATTTGTTTTCAATTGTTGCGGCCTTTATTTCCGTTTTTTGCATATTCTGTTATATTCTTTGTAATGTTTAAACGATGATAGTGTTCCTTCATTTTTATATTGAATAAAAGCTCTTTTTTTATTATCTATAGCCTTTTTAACTTTGGCCGTAAGCCACATAGGTTTGATTTTTAGCCTTTTAAACTTGTTGCCCATGGGAATATATTTTGCAGTGTGTTCACATACAGTCTTTTTGAAGAACTCCCATATCTGTGTTGTGTTCATCAATGTCAATATTCCCTCCCAGTCTAAGTCTTGGTGAGCAGCTCTCAGCCTTGGAAAATTGGCTCTCTTGAAATTGAGCATTTTTATTTTTCCCATGTGTGCTTGCTGTTCTGTGCTCCGACACGGTTTACACTCACCCTGAAGCAAGCCATACTGGATCACAAGTGAACCATGCCTGGTACCACCACTT